TATTTTTAGCACATATTAATATAAACAAGACAATTTTAAAATGTATTACTTATATTGGTACATCTGTGTATTAAAATTTATGTAATTTAACCAATTAATGTTTAACCAATGTGTCCTATTAATACCCCCTACTTCAATAATTATTTTGCTCTCCGAAGTTACTGTGGATACTTTCAAACCTTGTTAGACATTTCTTTTGATTTCATTTTGACTCTCGGCATTGTTTAAGCAAATCATGTCAATAGATAAGGATGTTAGCACTAGTTTCCATCTGTGAAGTTGACATGTTTGAATAATATATTATTCACTTCTGCATTCATCATGAGAAGATCGGCATTCACTCGGAAACCAAGATATTCTGACAATGCTTTCCCGCTATTTTATTTCCATAAAAATTTTGTCCAGACCCAACACATTACCCAACATATTAATTTTAATACACCTACTGGTTTTCTCTAATTCTTTCATATTTTTCTCAAATTTGCACATTTTTAATTACTAACTTTTGGGGGGATCTTACCCCCTACTTTTATTCTGGGACCTGTAGCCCACCCTTCATTCCACCTATGCTTTGAAAAGTGACTTGAAATTGACAATAACCATTGCTAAATGTCCTTGCAGATCACAGTCAACGAACCTTTGTAAGACTCCTAAATTACATATTATCAAACATCTATTTTCCTATCACTTTATCTCATTGTAGAAAGTTTCCGAGACAGAAGTCTTAAAGCTGAAAAGGAGGTTGAGAAAAGGTCACAGGAGGTCACAGAACTAACAAAACTATTAGACAGGAAGTCAAGGCATGTTGCGTTACTAGAAAAAAGTTCAAGACAAGCGCAAGAGAGTTTCGAAGAATCCACGAGAACTAAAGACAAGCAAATTGCAACTCTGACTTCAGAACTGGATGCAAAAGCTGGTAACATTGCTTATCTGACAAAACAGTTGCACGACTCGAAAGTTGCTTATGCCGAACTCAATGATAGACTTTTAAGTATAAACCCAAATTTCATGGATAGGCCGATAATTTCACCAGCTCCCCCAGGTGAAAGGGCACCAGCTAATAGTCGGAGGCGATTTATCCGTAAAGTTGTTGCATCAAACGGAAGCGTAGACATTGAATCGATAGGTGCCTTAAATCCAACTACACAGAAAATGCTACTTAATGTTAAGACGACAAAAAGTAACGAGGGCTTTCCAACACGGTCTGCTAGAAAGCCGCCAACACCGAAAGGATCAAGATCATTAGGGGAACCATCGATGAATCAATCTAGGAACATTACAGATGATTACACAGAGTTTCTAAAAACCGCTTCAAAACCTGAACCAAAACTTGTTTATAAACCAGTTCCCAATCCTTTGCCACCAATTGTGAATGGAATTGAGAACAGTGGAACCCAGGTCCCTTACACAGTTCGTCGGTCAAGAGGTCAGGATGCTGGCATCGTTGACGAAATAATCGTCTCCCCCCTGAATTCACCGGACAAAAGTTGGCGACAAGGATCAAACCAGTATGACCCGGTTTCTTAGCAGGAGTATGGTTCTATACAGAGCATAGGTGTGTCACAAAAATGAAAGACTTTTATTAGAAAATTAAGACAAGTATACTTGACATTAAGTATAGTTCACTTATTTTTGCCAAGCAAAATGTAGGAAGTGGATGTATTTTTTATCAGATTGTGTGCGTGAATGTGTATTGTAAATAGAAAATGAGAGTGTTGACGAATAAAGAATATTTATGAATTCCTGTTATTAAAATTCAGTGGTGGATCCAGAAAGGTTGTTTTAGGGGGGAACAGCCAAGCATGCCGAACCCAACATTAGCCAATAGCCAGTAATGTACTGTCATGAAAGATGAAAGTGCATCTGGTAGTTTCTTGGTTACAATTTACAGATGTGTTCAACATTGCTGATTTAATAAATCATGACCAACTTAAGTTTTGGAATTCAAGGCAGCACTAAGGCTGTTGACCAAGGCCCCTTCGTTTACACTGGATAAGGCGCTATCAGTTTTGCAATCTTACTCATGTCAGAGAGTGGTTTAGATTCGTTCAAATTCGTTGCAAAGTTGGGGGGAGAGTGGAAAGTTGTCAGCATGCAGATGGTGTTACGTATCTTGAAAATATCCGATATAAAACTCCATGGGACTATGTCATTGAATTCTGAAATCAATATTTGACACAATCTAAGTTCCTCCACAATGCAGGAATAGAGATCCAAGATTCCATATAAATATAATCCATGTCACTCAAATATTTTCATTTTTTCTTATTCAAATCCATGTTTTGCCGACTGGGATTCAATATTTTGCCGACTACTTGCTGACTGGGGTTGTTCCAACCCCGCCCCACACCCCTCCCCTTTTGCCGCCCCTGGTTGTATGGTTGTATCCCTATCAATGCCCAGCTTGTTTAACAGGAAAGGATTTGCCACAAGTCGCCTTCTCTAATTAATTTCACTTCTTTACCACTCGCAAGCGAGCGACGAAACGAAAGTCTAGGCATCCGCGGCACCGGTGTCCCAGTTGATTTGGACCCCCGTAGATTTGGACCCCCGGTCCATATCCACTAGTAGATATGGACCCCCCGGTCCAAATCTTCTAGCAGATATGGACCCCCGGGGGTCCAAATCTACTAGTAAATACGGACCCCCGTTGGCGGATTTGGACCCCCCTTCAAAAGTTAAATATATGTAATGTGAACACAATAATATAAACCAAATTAATAATAGCGATCAATCTGAAGTATTTTATCATAGGAAAATAGAATACAGTGTGACTAAAATCTATGTATAGTATTTGCCAATAACGAATCACTGTGTAACAAAAGCGATAGAAATGGCATTTGGATCGACACGAAACACGATTTTCGTGAATGTTTTTGAACAATCAAAGTGGTGGTGACTCATCTAAATGGAAGCCTGTGGCCATCCACCAATGATTTTTAACAAAAACCATAGAAATAGCATATTAGAGCAACGCCATCCATGAATATTTTTAAACAATAAGACAGAATAAGTGATGTTTGTGAGTCTTTGCTAATGGGTTTTTTAACAAAAGCCACAGAAATAGCATATTAGAGCAACGCGACCATGAATATTTTTAAACAATAAGTGATGACTTATCAGTTGCCTTGCAGCTATATAAATGTTTTAGTGTCATTCGCTATTTCAATGCGAATAGAACTATAATCTCTGTTTAACGCAAAATGGCTGATTTGACTGCGTACGAAGAAGTATTTCATTATCTTCCAACAAAGACCAGAAGAGGAACACCGTTATTGGGGTTGTTTTTAGTATATAAAAGTGTTTAAAAAACGGGGGTCCATATCCGCTAAAGGGGTCCATATCTACTAGGAGATTTGGACCGGGGGTCCATATCTACTAGGAGATTTGGACCGGGGGGTCCATATCTACTAGGAGATTTGGACCGGGGGGTCCATATCTACTAGGAGATTTGGACCGGGGGGTCCAAATCTACTGGGGGGTCCAAATCCGCTGTGACACCGGCACTAGCCAATGTAAAACTATTTTAGGCAAGGGACAGCCTTTTGAACTTTGTAAAATGAGAAAACAGGGCGCTAAATAAGCCCCTTCTGTCTTAGACTGCAATCGCCCACCCATAAATATAATGGTACTTTGCTCAATTAACTGCGCAACTCGTAATGTGCTTCACATAATTTGCGTATTTGCAGTTTATTTCTCCTCTCCCCAATTTCCTATGAACACGGCCGTGTACCAAACGCCATATTTCCATAGCAACAAGAGACAAGATGGCGGTTCGAAAACACATAAAACGTGGAAATAATTTGTGTTTTTTGTACAGTAATAAATATCAATTCTCGCAACAGATGCTCTTGTTATAAAGGCAGATATATAAAGAGTATTCGAGAGTGCTTTCAACATGGACGACGTACGAATTGAGTGGATACGAAACGAAGTTTACTTGGCTTTGGAAATCGCTGACACAGATGTGTTTGAAGATTTGTTGAACAGAGATGATGGTGTGAATGAAAGCTTGATACAGAAATATTTAAACGAGACTCCTGCAGAAGGAACGGCGTTGATTTTACATTCGCAAAAACATCGCAGCACAATAGTTTTGACCCACCTATACAAAGATTGAAAATTCTGAGCTGAACTCCCACCACTTGTGGAACAGGTCCACAAAGTGGGACAAAATCAATATTTTGTTGATAGCCTAAGGTCTAGGAGTCATAATATTGGCTATGATGTCAAATTGATGTTTTGCTGTTAAATGTCAATTTGATATAGCCTATGTTAAATTGATATTTTGCTGAAAAAACATCAAATTGACATTGCCTGTGTCAAATTGATGTTTTGCTGTTAACATATTGTTTGACAGAGTAAAATAATAAACCACTAGGGAACATTACGGCACAATGCAACGGTTTTAATGGATAATTACACTACACTTTCAATGTTTCAGAGCCTGAAATTCCAGTAATTCCTGACGGAGATGAACTGCTAGAGGGTGAAGGTAGTTCCATCAATGAACTTGGTGAACCTCTGATGAATGGTACCATGCAGCCAGATGAAATACTGGTCAATGGTGACTTGAATGGTGAGGTGAATCCTGAAACAGGTGAAGCCATACAGGAGGAAAAACCGGCAGATGAAAATGAGGAGGATGCTGCTGGGAAATTTAAATTTACACCAGTGACAGTAAGTTCTGACAATTACCCATCATTTCTATCATCATCATCATTTAAATCTGCATTAATTACTGTGAAGTGTAATAATCAATAATAAAAATTATACAATTTCTTGCATTATGAGAACAGATGTATAGTTATCTGGTAGTTCTAAGTTACAATATAATTTCAGTAATGGTACTGTATGACCACCATTGCTATCATAATTTCCACAACCATCATCACTTCCGTTATTATCATCACAAACATCACTGTCATCACTACCACTAATGAGGCCACACTGGCATACTTTGGAGGAAATGCTTGGAGAGGTGGGAAAAGCTCAGGGGAGGAGGTGTGCACCTCCCCACACCTCTCCTCACCTCCCCTCAAAATGCACCACTGTCACAACCACCATACCATTACTGTCACCATCATTGTTATCCACCATTATTGTGACCACCGCCATTATTGTGACCACCACCATTATTGTGACCACCACCATTATTGTGACCACCACCATTATTGTGACCACCACCATTATTGTGACCACCACCATTATTGTGACCAGCACCATTGTGACCAGCACCATTATTGTGACCAGCACCATTATTCTGACCACCACTATTATTGTGACCATCACCATTGCTGTGACCACCACCATTGCTGTGACCACCACCATCACCAACTTAACCACCACCATCACCACTACCAACACCTTCATTACCACCAATCCTTTCCTTTCAGAAAATTGTAGTGCAGAAGGTCTACCGTACAGTGCTGTTTGCAAGTTGCGACGCCATCCCGCTTGTCGCAGAAGATACTAACGCTGTCTACTTTCAACGAACAACCACTGGACCAGTTTCTCTCCCTCCTCTATTGATGAAGCGAATGAAGTGATGCCAAAGTTATTTGAATTTGGATCATTGAACGAAAACGCCACCCTACTTACATTAGATCAAGTATTACAAAATGTATATTTACCCATACTGTCTTACAGCGGCACAAGATCAGAGCAAGGTGCCGACTCTGCCACAACCGCTGAGGAAACCCCTCGACGGGGCTCGATGGGGGAAGCGTCCAAAGGCCGAGTGGTAATTCGTGATGAATTCTTAATAAACTTACAAAAATTTGCAAATCACATCGGTAGAACGATGCAGCAGCTAGCTGGCGATATCAGACTCGTAATGTCTGACCTAGTTCTAACTGATGATATCTCGGAATTAGCGCGTAACCCAGAAATTGTTGCGAGCTTAGAGCAGACTTTACATGATTGGGAGGTCACCATGGCGTCTGCTTTGGAACAGCAGTTAAATCATACTCCTCAGGGAAATGGAACTTTAGCCGAAATGGACTTTTGGCGAGAACGCAATGCGACGCTAAGCGCTTTGGTAGAACAACTAAAACGACCTTTGGTCGAAAAAGTTATTGCAATCCTCTCACAGACAAGTTCGGATAGTTTATCAACATTCGAATATCATAAAAACGAATTAACAAAGTACTATGTGGAAGCGAAAGATAATGTTCGGTTTCTGCTCACCTTGGAAAGGCATTTTAAGAATCTTGCCCACGGAGCGAATTTTAAAGTTATACTGGAGACGATACCATCGTTAATGAATGCTTTGAGGATGGTGTGGATTATATCTAGACATTATAACAGGGATGAAAGGATGGTCCCGTTGATGGAGAGAATTGCTTGGGAACTCGCCGAGAGAGTTGCAAAGGTCGTGAATATCAGGACCATTCTGAAGTAGGTTTTGTTTAAAGTTATAGCTAGCATAGTTATTTCTGAGTAGCTTTATTATATAGTTATATATATATATATATATATATATATATATATATATATATATATATATATATATATATATATATATATATATATATATATATATATATATATATATATATATATATATATATATATATATATATATATATATATAAGTATTCTCGCTAGACTCAGGTCCAGTAGGGGTCGTCTTTCATTGCTTGGGAACTTCCCGAGAGATTTGCAAAGGTCGTGAATATAAGGACCATTTTGAAGCTGGTTTAAAATGTTTAAATCTATAGCTAGGCTAAGCATAGTTATTTCCGAGTAGCTCTATTATATAGCTATATCTAAGTATTCTCGCTAGACTCAGGTCCAGTAGGGGTCGTCTTTCATCCAAACACCGCAGTTTTTCTGTGTTATGTAAATTTGTACATAACAACTCGAAACAATGATTGAGGGGAGATTTTGTAAACCATAAAAAAACAAAGAATTGATTGATCATTTTACTTCGTTCTCTAGAGAATCTCCAGCCACGATCAAAGTAAAGACTTCAGAAGCAAAGCGAACATTGAATCAATGGAAAGAAACGTACTTCGAGACTCGGGCCAAGATTGAGGCCTCGGGTCGCGATGCGCGATGGGAATTTGACAGGAAACGTCTGTTTGAGAGGACCGACTACATGGCCACAATATGTGAGGACATACATGAAGTAGCTCAGGTTAGTTGCAAGACGTTCCTTCGAAACCCCAAGTTTTTTAATCTTATTCAGGTATATAGTTCAGGAACTGCACCAGTGTATTTTGGAACTTTATACCTGGGGATATAGCTCCTGGGGATATAGGTGCCATCTTGTTTAAAAGTGATGCGAGAAAGTGTAATTGGATGTCGACCTTATTTTTTGTTCGTTTTCATGTGTTTACATACCGTAACTTGTAAGCATTGTTAATGGAGATGTATTATGCATGCATACTGACCTCCATACCATGACGTCACAACGAGGTTGTTTGCAAGTTTACACCCCCCCAGTGGCCCTATAGAACACTATGCTGTGGTGCGATATGTAGACTAATAATATATCTTGTCATTAAGTTAATTTCTCGTGCCATAGGTATTGGAAGAATTCTACAACATTTTTGGTCCTGAGCTAAAAGCAGTGACGGGAGATCCAAAGAGAATTGAAGATGTCGTTAAGAGAGTGGATGGCTTGGTCAAACCTTTGGAAAATGTGAGTAAACTGAAAAGAGAAATTTTGTGTACAAACTTGTGTTCTTCTCTATATGAAGTTGTCTGATTATAATTTCACTTCGGTCATTTGTAAGAAGAGTGCCCAGTTTTCTCCGCGTATTTCAGTTTTCCTCTGTTGTAATACTGGATCAATATGCGATTGGATTTCTAGAGAGAACAGTATAAATCTGATAGAGATATCCGTATGCATAAAGTTAATTTGGTTTAGTTTACGTTTCTTCCTTCTAAGGAGAACAGTTTAGACAAATCTGACCGGTCTCTGACTAACTCTTTTTAATGATTCTATATACCTTTTCCAGGTCAGTTTTGATCCTTTCAATCTCCGACACTCGACAAGCTGGCGCAGTGTTATGGATCGTTTCCGTCGTGAAGTGGGCGCCATCGAGAATGAAGCGAAACATTTTATCGACGATTCTTTCCAAACTCTACGTTCTGCCGAAGGCGCTTTTGACATGTTGCAGAATTTCAAACATATTCGTTCCCGCGATGCTATTAATTCACAAATGATGAGGAAATTTAACGATATCTTACTACAATTTGGAAAAGAGGTAACTATATAGGGGCCAGTTACATGAGGTCAAGGTGCAGGCCGAGTTAGAACGGTATGATGTCGTGTCCCTAGCGGGCCTAGTCGATGTTTACATGCATGAGGCCAATACTAAATTAGAGAGAGATGATTTCGTTTCAGTCATAGTGTTGTCAGGGTGTCCACGGGCCTCGAAAGTCCTTCGAAGTACTGGAATTAATTTCCTTAACCTCCACCTGTGCCAACATTAGTGATTTTGATTAAAAGTACTAAATAAAGTGAATTATTTGCTGGTTAAAGTCTAAAATACGTGCCATTTTCAAAGCTTTTTCCCAGTTCTAGGTCCTTGAATTTGCTGAAAAAGGGCCTTGAAAGTCCTGGAAAAGTCCTTGAATTTCACCTTCACCAACGGGTGGACACCCTGTTAACACTGTAGTCGCTGTTTACATGAACTTGGAACGAGTTCAGAGCAGGATGATTTTGTTTTGGTCATAGAGTTGTCTGTAGTTGTTGTTTAGGTGATACCAGGACAAAATAAGAGAGGAAAGATTTCATTTCAGCCATTTGTCTCTAGTCTAGTGATTTATCGAAGTGTCTATATAGTGTATAAAGTCTGTAGTGTGTATAAATCGGGCCATCATTGAATTTTTTTCTTGACTTCAAATATCTTTAGGTGGATGTTATTTTCGCTCTGTTTAAAGCTGGTCACGTGTCGCCTCCTGTTTACAAGAATCAACCGCCGGTCGCGGGCGCTATTGGCTGGGAGAGATCTCTATTTTACAGAATTAAACATACGATCTTGAGATTCCAGGAGATTGATGACATGCTGAACAGCGACCAGGGAAAATTGGTGAGTCTGTGAATCATTTATACAGTTATTTTTGTCGTTTAATCCGAATTCATGATACACGTGCTCGACAGATCCCGAGGTTTAGAGGTTCGTGAGTCAAACAATGCCGTTCTGAGAAAGGCGTTCCGCCGTTCGGTGCTTCGGGCCACAATCATATCTCTCTTCGGACACATGACACTCACGTGAAGAGAGTTTACGCTTTAACGAAAGTCGTGGGTTCTCTCCGGGTACACCGGGTTTTTTCCCACATGGAATGTTGACAGGGTGGGTTGGGATTAGCCCACAGGCCCCACAACTGATCCTTCTACCGTAACTATGCTCCGTGATCAGTCTGAATTGTAACTATTTCGCTTGGGACATTGATAATGTTCAATCAACATTGCAGTCGCTCGGACTCCGTAATAGCGGTCGGCCAGCTTTTCAATATTTACATCGCTAACTTCTGCTGATCACGTCCCATATGATCAATCACATCACCTGACTTTTGGTAAGCAACGACCAATGCAACCAAAAAGCTCTTGGTCCCACAGATATTGATGTCTGCTACTGACAATGGTCTGATACCATAAACTTGTGACGTGATATTGTTGCCTGTCACCGCGAAGCCAAGACCCATTCGCAGGCTAGAACCCATAGAGAGAGGCCTGCGGAGGAGGCTAGTGTCAGACTAGTGTTCCTTATCTTGCAACCATTGAATTCTATTTCAGGTCAGTAAGAAGTATCTATCAGTGGCACGACTTATGAAACAGTACGAGGATAAGAAATTTGAATTGTGGCGTGAACAAGTGGAAACGCATCTCTTGTCTTATCTCAAGCGAAACCTGTTGACCCGATCTTCTACCGGCTCTGCTACGACAAGATCCGGAGGTCATACGACGAAGGACGATGTTGGTGCCGACGATGATCACATATCGCCGGTACACAGTAAGTGATTTGAAAATTGCTTGACGGAATCGAACCTGCGAACTTTGGTTTACTACACACGTAACAAACACACGTAAAAATCTCACAACTTGTCAACAAGATGTGTTCGCAACATGCATGTAGTAAACTTGTCAACAAGATGTGTTCGCAACAGGCATGTAGTAAACTTGTCAACAAGATGTGTTCGCAACATGCATGTAGTAAACTTGTCAACAAGATGTGTTCGCAACAGGCATGTAGTAAACTTGTCAACAAGTTTTACTAACGCTGTTATTTTACCAAGTTTCTACAAGCTTGTCACTCGCAACTTGTTGACAAGTTGTTGAATTGCAGGACGATAACAAGTTGTTGGAACAACTTGTAACAAGTCTGTTGAGCTCAACAATCTTGTAGCAAGTTGTCAACAAGCCGTTGACAACTTGTCAACAAGCTGGGAACAAGCAGTACGAACACATCATGTTGACAAGTTGCCAGAAGTCTGCTGCGGGTTTGCTAAAGCATGTGTGTTTTTACATGTGTTGTCCAAATGCTATACGGCCCTATACCAAATGATCTACGAGGTCAAATCCATGTTCGAGTAGATGATATTTCGGAACTGAGTTAATTTCCTATGATACCCCATATTTTATGATTTTAGCGTCTAGAGCGTCTGAAGGGCCTTAATTCGCTCGAAACGTCGAAATTCTCCTTATGTATTTGTTTTATTTAGCTTTGCCAACTAGGGCAGGCTCACCACAACAGCATGTGACAATTACTGTGGGCCCTTTTTACCTAACCCACCCTGTCAACTTTCCCTGTGGGAGGAAACACGGAGTACCCGGAGAAAACCCACGACTTTCGGCAGAGCGTTGACTTTACTCTTTTCACATGAGGACTGGGTTCGAGTCGCATTGAGAAAGTTCTCACTGGGATTTGAACCTGCGACCTCAGAGGTGAAAGGCAAGTGCGCTAACCACTTCGCCACCGAAGCACCTATTTTCAGGTAGTTGCATGCCTACCAACGAAAGCTTGTTCATGATCGTAGGTATCTACGTCCTCGGATCCCCTATCAGCTGGGCAATAGCTTGTTGGAAAATATGCTCACCAATGAGTGAGAGAAACTCGATAAACTCGAAAGGTTCTATTGTCTTGATAGGCTGTCACGTTGATGTACAATATGTGGTTGACTTTGCCCCGGAATTGTACGAAATCATTACAGAGACAAAATATATGGAACAGCTTGGCTTCCATGTTCCGGAGCTGGCACGAAATGTTTCACTACAGGTAGGTGGGGGTTTATATACATGTCACAGAGAGCCCCACCTTCCCTAATCTGGTATTGCACATTCAGGGTTTCTTTTCAAGACGTTTGGGATCAGGACAGGAAAAATAATTTTCTTCCTGGAAGCACAACCTGGAGACAAACATTTCCTGCAGACCAACGGAGTATTTTTGTGCTAAATCTGCATATAGTGTTCTAGCTGACCATGGTTTTAAATTCAAGGAATAGACTGTCAGACTGTCAACCATATGTTGTTGCGCCCAAAGTGGGACATGGGTGTTAAGGTTTCCTTAAAATTTTCAAGAGCAAATCTTCATTCAAACGAATGTCCTGTAGCTCTCTAACGTTAGAGGTTCCATCAAGGCATATTTTAATTATTTAATTTAGTAACAGGCTTGTAGTAATAGTCGCTATCACATCATTTTACTTTGGGCCTTAATCTTAGTTTTGGGTCTCCACTGTAAATTTCTTAAAAGTGCATTGGGTTCAATAACGCCAGCGTTATTCAACCTCTGTCTCGCAGTGTAGGGACTACTTATTGTAACATCACCTAAAACGCTAAAACTTAAAGTTTCGAAAGTCAATCGTCAAAAGTTTCAGTGCATGCATTAAAAATTAAGTTTTCGAGTTCCATTCCAAATTTTCAATAATTTGTGGACGCGCTTTTCATCACTGTTCCTCGAGTTTGATTCTATCATGGTTTTGTTTCAAAACGAAGAATATCTTACTTATGTAAAACAACATCTAAAGAGTCATACAACTGTCGTTGCTATGGCGAAAATGACGTTTCAATATGTCGGATATTTTGGGGTGTCCCCCCAAATTTTATTTCATAAAATGATTTCTGTTGGTATATTGAATTATTTTGAAAAGTTTGAAAAGAATTCTGTTTACTCAAAATCTTTCAAACCCTACTCGACAGAATTTTTTCTGAATTATCACAGTAATTCAATATATTAAGAGAAATCGTTTTATAATATTAACTAAAATTGGAGGTCACCGATGTCGTTTTCGAAACGGCATTGTAACCATAGCAACGGTAGTTTTGTAACTTTTGTGCAATAATTCAAACTCTTTGGGTGTTGTTTTACATACGTAAGGCACTCTTTGACGTAGATTGTATAAGAAGGTCAAACTCTGTTCATTTTAGGAGGAAAAATATATCAAGTATGTTGATGGCTTGAAGCAGATGTTGTCCCAATATCACGCGATTTTATCAAGTTTAAACCATGCTGAGGTAAGCAAATATAATTATTAACCACGATATATACAGATTTCGAGTTTCTAATTGTACTAAAATGTAAAGCATCTTAGGGATATTTTACAACAGCAGTAGCATAAGCTCGTGCTTCAGCCATGGCTGGGAACTCCGTCCATGTGTTCGTTTGGAAATTATAACATTCGACAGACCTGAGTTCAGTGGACGTTTCATCCCTACCTCCCATTGTGATAATATTATCACCGATAGTCACTGCTGTGCAACCACTTCGCTTCTGTCTCATCTCTGGCAACATACGGTACCTTTTTGTAGCAACATTATACAATATTACTTCATTGAGGATGTTGCCTTCCTTGTCCTCCCCGCCAAGGACAACCACAGTGTCTTTCCAAGTTGCTGTTGTCATTTCTGATACCGGATATGGAAGTGGATTGAGGTGTGTACAAGTATTGGTTGCTGGATCAAACATGAGGACGTAGTCTGTTGTGTCTTTCCCAAATCCTGTTGTACTACCACCAATATTGTAAACCTTGTCATTTACTATCACAGTACCATGGTAACATATTGCCCGTGGCATCTTGGTAAGCAACCTTGATGTAAAGGGAGGGGTCAGCTGAATTTCATGTATTGCATCACTGATCTCGTCGGAAAAATCTCCTCCAATGACGAGGAGACGATTCTGATGTACCACACATGTGTGGCCACTGGACGGTGCTGGTAATTTGATGTGAGTTTTATCAATCCATTGTCCATCTACATGATTTAGTTCTTCAACACTGTCCAGGTCCCGGACGGAATATCCGCCAGTCATGATCATGTGACCTTGGTGTAAAACTAAGCTTGCTGCACCTCTGCATTCATTCATTTCTGACAATGTCCGCCATGTTTTGGTGGCCATGTTGAACACTTCGACAGATTTACAATGCAACCCCCCTGCGACGACAATCTCGGCTTGCAATTCCTGAACAGAGTGAGCACTGCTTTCATGACTGCTTTCTGGGCGTTGTGGTGTCCTCGTAAGATTGGACATCATTCTCAACATTTCATCTTGCTTAGAACGAATTTCTTTCAACTCGGCTTTGATTTCATGAATTTTTTGCCTTGGTGGACATGTATGCTGCATAAAGTCCTTATACAGCACCATTTGGGCGCAGTAATCACACTTGACTCGTCGAAAACCACAAACTTTATTTTCATGAATTTCTTTATCACGTCGACTTATTATTTCCTGACATTGATCGTTGGAACATGGCACTGGACTGAAACCACAAGTTGCTACGTGTGTGTCGAGTGAGCCAAGTTCGACAACTTTGCGACAACCACGCTCGGAATTCTCGCACGAAATCTTCAAACTTGACAGTATGTTCGCCAGGAATCGTTGAGGTCTGGCCAGGGTCTCTACGGTCAAGGGGTCTTTACATATCGGACATTTCCGTGAATGTCGTAGATGTTCAGTGATACAATTCCTACAGAAATGATGTTCATTCCTACGACATTGTACTGGGTCTTTTAATACTTCTGTGCATATTACGCAGTGAAGGCTTTCATCAACTTGCGTTTCAAATCTGCTATCTTCATAACCTGTTGCCATCGCTTGACTTATTCACTGATTAATAGAGTCTCACATTCTGAAATCTGACTGTTTCCATTGTAACATCAATGCTTGTCTGTCCTACATCACAGACTATGATGTCGTTTGCCTTGAAGTTTTAATTGTCTTATACTTTGAAATATGAACCATCCGCTAATAAATTCTGATATAAAGCATGACCTTTTATGGTCAAAATATGTGCCTCAGCATCCGGTACAAGCAGTAGTACTGTTATGTGAAGACTTTTTGTCCAGTCCTAGGACTTGATTAAAACTGTATCCAGTCCTAAGACTCGATCAAAACTTCATCCAGACCTAGGACTGATCAAACTTTATCAAGTGTATAATTAAATTTTCGAGTATAGAGTAGATATAGTATGATGACCTATGATGGGCAGTAATACCGCAGTATATAGAGGATATTACACGGCGGCGCGAAGATATGACTTTTATCTTCGAGTGGTGAAAACAATATTTTACGAGTGAGTAAAATATTGTTTTTAACACGAGAAGATAAAAGTCATATCTTCAAGCCACCGTGTAATGTTTTGTTTATTAGTCCCAAGCAAAAAATTGTGAAATTTCACGCGCAAAACCAAATTGGAAAAAGTCACGTGATCGATATCTTCACTAGTGAAGATATGGAAAATATCTCACCTTGTATTTTTCAGTATCTCACTCTCTACTATATAATAAAATAGTCATTGTATATGAATAATCTTGCACTAATTCTGACCTTGTTGGCAAACCTACGGAGTTTGAGTTGTTTATTGTATGAGTAATTTTCAGCGTTTTCAGCACACTTCAAAATGCAAATATAATGAAACGATTGAAACCTTTCTCATAACCGAAAATAATATTTACATTGTAATATTTACTACAGTATACATACTATATATACAGCGCATGCTTACATCAAATACTGTAGCTATATGGCGCGAAATATAACTTATCCTGGATAATTAAACATAAATACCTCAAGTTTTATACTGGACCTCAAAGACGATAGAACTATCCAGTGTTAATAAAGTAAGTATAGTTCAGGTTCCCCCTGTGGTGCAGTGACCAACGAGGGATTGGCTTACTTTTGAAACAACATATTACTGATAGAGCTATTCAGTACTCGATAGATAAAGATAGTTTGGTTTGGCTAGCGCCAGCCACCTGCTGGAAATCTCAGTTCTTCTTTTTAGTTCTTTGAACTTTCTTGCTTTACTGGGGTGATTCTACGGGAGAGCAGTTTAGAACTGATAGAACAATCTAGTTTATATATAATACCTTAGCGGCATTTAACTTATTATATCACAATATATAATCTATATACAGTTCAAGTGATTAATCTCATCAAGTTCAGCATCTACAAAATTCATCATTTCTTGAAAATTTTTCTTCTCGCAAATATCATGTGCCGTTCTGCTTTCCTCTTCGGCTGACTCCAAGAAGTACTCGTCGTGTAGCTGTTGCCAGTTTCGTACATTCTGCTGTGCTCTTGCCAAGAGGTACTCGCAACGACAGAACTCTGTCAACGGCCATCCTTGCACCCTAAAATAACAACCGAACGTCGCATACATGTACGACAACTTGCGGTCAACAAGATGTGTTCGCAACAGGCTTGTAGCAAGCTTGTCAACAAGTTGTAACAATGTTGTTATTTTATCAAGTTGCAACAAGGTCGTCACTCACAACTTGTTGACAAATTGTTGAATTGCAGGACGATAACAAGTTGTTGGAACAACTTGGAACAAGTCAACAAGCCGTTGACAACTTGTCAACAAGCTGGAAACAATGATTTTCTCCTGTGCTTCGAGGGTTTTCGCCGCATCTTCGGTTTTGAAAAATGAAAAAATTATCATCATTGGACAAGAGTCATTACACATACAAAGCTTCTGCTCAATTAATTCGTAAAAGAGACATATTCAAAAAACATTTGAATATGCCTCTTTTACGAATTATTTGCTGGGCAATACTAGGATTCGTTTTCCGCCTGGTGTTTCTATTGCTGGTAAATCTTTTACTACTATGACAAAACAACCAGCTTAGGGACCGTTCATTATTTACACCCGGGGTTGGTACCGAAGAGATATGGGTTGGGTAATCAAGTTTTTGACTATGGGTTGGGTAAAAAAAATTTATGTCTGTTTGTCAGCTGTAAAATAAAATAAAACCAAAATTACCATGCATTGGAAAATATGAAGAAAAATGTGAACAATACCTTCTGTACCAAAATAGACCATCAGTGATATACTGATAGAGGAAGGACTCTATCATTGATCAGCAGAAACGTGATTGCTTTGAGTACGAGTGAGCTTTTAGAATTTAGGAAACTTGATTTCTGTCAGCATAATCTTGTGTGTTTAATTATTATGAAGTACAGTAACACATGGGTTGGGTAAACATTATTTTGACCAATGTTGAGGTTGGGTAAATAAAAAAGTTACAGTGTTTTTCTCTTCTCTTCTGTACCAACCCCGGGTATAAATAATGAACGGTCCCTTACCTACTAGACCTGTTCACAACCTCAAGCATTTTCTCAGCTTCTTCGATGTCGTGCTGTACTACTTCTTGTGTTCGCGTGATTTCGCTCTCGTGGAAGAAGCAGCCAAGATGTAACATCGCCAAACGTGTGTGACATCTCTGCTTTAACTCCGCTACGCTCGTCGATTCTTCCAGCATCGAGGCTTGTCTCAGTGCTTCGATATAACAAAGTCTCGCTTGAGGTATTAGGTTGGACATCTGGCAAGGATTCCGAGAAATAAGCCGCTCTATCGCGCGGGCTTCCTGGAAAAAGAACCAAGCGCCAATGATGTCTGGCGGACACGATTCCATTTGCTGCATTCCTAGTCTTCGATAACTGTCACATTCTTCGTAATTTCCTAGAACGCGACTGACCAGAGATTCCCAGTAGAGATTCTCAATTTCTAGGACTCGATGACTCTCGTGAGCTATATAAGAGAATACAGAATGTTGTAAATTCTGGGGCGTTTGTGTCACATTAGTTAGTGTGACCTCTGTTCGATTTCTGCAATATGTGGTTGTGTGGTTATAATTTCATCTTTCTTACGTCTTTGAGAAGAACGCTTGTACTTTGTAGTTGCTTCCCAGAATCATTACCAGTATATAGAGTACTTTATTCTTGTGAGTTTGCCTCGTTCTGGCAAGATCAAGCTATGTATATTGATACGGCATTAGAATGAACTATCAGCAAATGGACCTTTAACCTTATAACTAAAATTTTGATCTAGACAGAAATTTCATCACAGCTTGAAAGAGCATCACAAAATTAGTAATATTCCAAAGTTTCGTTGCGAAATGTTGTAAAATGCGGATAATATAGGCGATGCGACAACGAGTAC